CAAAGAATATAACTGGCTATCTTACCACATATGTCCTTGCTTAGAATATGTACAACCATATTGCTTTAGACCCAGTCTTAGTATACTTCCATATGACTTTCTTTCTTTTTAGAATAACGTTCCTACAACTTCACTTGACATTCCTGACTTTTCGTCTAGTCGCACAATCTTTAGAACAACACTGTTTTGAATGCAAATGACGATGTAGTTTGGAAAGCAATTCTCTGAAAAATTTATGAATATTCAAGTTCAATGCCAGGGACTACAGTGAAACCAAGCTTTTCAATGTCTTAAGTGAAATGCGTGACAAGTATATTTTGCTCTTTTTTGGTTTGCACTGTACTGCACATTTCGAAGTATCAATATATGTATCCGTCTTTGTTTCTTCTAAACTTAAAGCCTTCGTACATGCCATATTTGATATATCATTATCACTGTTCCCATGAATAATGAGCTCGCCCTACTAAAAAAAAGGCATGCAGGCTTTACCGCCCTTGCCTATCGTCATTTTAAAAATAATTAAGAAAAATCATTTGTTTTCCTAAACAAGACAGAACACTATTAGAAAACAATAAAGACAAACAAAATGCAATTTTTTTTAACTGCGCGAAGGCAAGTGAAGCTGAAACAATACTTCTATTTGGTGGCCGCAACATTCCAGCGCAAAATTGTCGCGTTGCAGTAGTATAGTGTCGGAATCATATAACCGTTGGATGAGTTATAATCCTCATTTCCAGCTCAGATTGGACAACATGTACGTAACAGCTGGTGCTCTAGTAACTGTTTTATGTTATAGAACATGGTTTTTATGAGTTGTACCTAGTTGATTCTCATCCTTGAGATATTAATCCTGCAGACTCCAATCCTGAAAGATAACAAATGTCTACTGTACTCTGTTACATGATGAGATCTAATTTCTGGACTGTCCACGTGATTAAAGAACACTGCTTCAGAACACGTTATGCTGCGGACTCTTCATTATTGAACAGTTATATCAATTGATTTGTGACTCATGTGCAATCTGCGATTTGATTTAATGACACTGATCTAATGGCTGAAATATAGTTAAGGCATACAGATTTATAGAAAAAGTTAGAGAACATTTTGGGATTCAATAAATGTGGAATTACATATATTATAGAATAAGATACTATGGTAGTGGATTACTACAAGCAACACATGGCAGCTATTACAATGTACAATACAACATACTCATTTTGAAGCCAGCAGCTCCTGGAGCATGGGAGAAGAATTCGATTTGTATGGACCATAAGTTCCTAAACTCGTTACCCCGCCTACCCAATTTCTCCAGTCACTCAGGGCCCCTCAACTCTGAGAAATTAATCATCATCATGTGACATGCCGAAAAGTATGGGTGCTGCTTGTCGATTCGGGTGTATCAGCACTGTTGATGTTAATACTTGGTTGACCTGGGTGTTGACACGGCCTGAGTCAATATTTTGATTCTGTGTTGACTTATAGGTGGCATGTTGGGAAGAACTGAGCAAAGAGACAGGTTCCAGCCACTCAAGTGAGGCTAAGCATAAGCGCTGAGGATTTGTCATCCAATATGATTACAAGAATCGCGTATCAGGTCAGTGCTCTTGCCCTGTCCCCATCCGTGACATTAAGCCATCTACATATTTTTGTCCATGCTTTACTGCCTGCTCTCTTTCCCCCCAGTCTTGCAATTAGTCACCACGTTCTTGAGTTTATTCGTTTTCTGTAAGTATACCTTTTTTTCTAATCGAACACTGAACTTGGCAGGCAAGATACAAACGTAGTTACATTTGATCTTTGATAATATTACATTTAAAAAAAAGAATTAAGATATAATATATCGTGACAGAAAAGTGTAACTAGTGTCGAAATAGACAAGAACCTGGAAAGCAGATCCTCTAAGATTTTATTGCTCAAGCGTGTGTTGAAAAAATGTTTCACACGTTTAGCAACTAGACTTAATGCTCAAGTCCGGAGAGACAATATATGTTAACTTATCTTTTACCGGACCCTCTCCTGGCGGGGTATCTCTATGCCGCCGTTATGCTGCCTTGTCACGCTTTGTTTATGTGGGCGTTTTTTCAATTATTTTTATCAAAATCTTGAAGTTTCCTTTCCATCAAGCCAAATGTGCTGATTTTGCGATGCTCTTCAGTAGTTGTGTTTCGTTCGATCTTAGCACCATTTAGCTGGTGCTGTTGCAGAACGTCGCTCTCACGGCGCTTGGGAAAGTCCATGTCATCTGCCAACCTTACCTTATGAGGAACTGCCATATGTCCAGGTTGACGTTGTTGTCCAGTTTCCATCCTGTTAGTGTGTTTTTTGTTTGTTTGTGGTAACCAAACATTATTGTTCCGTGCAAACCATTACGGCGATTAATGTAGGACTAGAAACTAGGCGCAGAGCTCTGGTAAATATTTGTATATATCAGGAACGGCGACACAAAGAAATCATCGGGGAAGCTGTGGAGGGTAGGAGGGGGGTGTCGCTCATTACCTTTATACATTTTTTTGAAGGAGCAGAGCACGACGGAGCCAAGTCTTGTTTATGTGCATAAAAATAGTAAGAAAAATTATATTTTTACAGTTTAATGAAATATGGAGCCACGGCGGTGTAGTGACTAGACGCCCTGCCTCCGTTCCTAAGATCTTGGGTTCCAATTCACATCGACTCATTTTTAACTTTGACAAATTGACTTTGACTGCCTGGTCGTGAAAAGTAAAATCAACATCATATGCCCGCCACGTGGTTTGAGCGGTGGGGGCGGGGCCCGGGAGCCGGGGGTGGGGATTGGTTAAGCAAACTTTTAAATGGGGGAACACAGGGGAGAGGGGCAAGTAGGCTTTAGCCCACTGCGTTTGGCACCTCATGTGTGTATAGAAAAAAAAAACTGCTTTTTTCTTACGTATCTTCTAAAGAACACTACTCAAAAGAATTGTTACTGTGTGTACCGGCAACATTTTATACATATTCTGTTTTACCGACACTTTAATCAACAACAACAAAATAAAGCTTTGAATATACATAATTTGTCTTTCTGCGGCACTAAATGTATATTTGTTAAGCCAAATAGCTCCATAGAGAGACTAAAGTAAAGTCTCAGGCTTCAGGCTTATTTGTTATATAGGGTCAGACCTATATTTTATAGACCGAACGGCACTTGGTGGATGATGTGGTCAGCATCACGCTGGCTGCCTTTACTTCCTAGGACTGAACCTAGTACCCGCTCAAGGCTGAGTCGATCTGGGAGCCAAGGTCATTTTAATTTCAACAAAAAGTCTAGCCCCCGTCAGGACAAGAACCCTCGACCTTCCGATCCGCAGGCAAGCGTCTAATTGATAGACCACGGCGGTTGCCCATAGAGAGACGTGTTACTGCAAAATGCAGAAAATAAGTTTATGATCTGGCTGGAACTGAGCTGTTGAAGATAAACTGCCCAGTAAAACCAAACTGCCCACAAATGCTGAGACTAGTTCTGCAACGTCCTGTAAAGGATATGCAAAAAACATTTAACTCAGCAGATTGATGTCAAATGTGTTCGTGACCGATAAAGTTTAGGGCATAGCTGAGGGATAGGGACAGGCGGGGGTGTAAAGGGAAGAGAGGGTGGGGGAGAGGAATAGTACTGTATCTGTGCCAAACAAACCAACAAACTACCTGAGACTTCAGATATGTGGTTTTACAGAATTATGCTTCGTTTCCCAAAATGAGTAATCTAAATATTATGGAAGAGGAGGTTTTTTGTTCTACAGTCACAGTGCCGAATTATAGGAAAACAACAAATTTGTGGTACTTTTCATTTAATTCACAACATTCAGGGGACTTCAAGATTGCCGCTGCGGGATATTAGATCTGTTTTGGTCCGTTTCTAATTGACGTATCACCACAAAGTGTCTGTTACAGTTGCTGTGAACAACGATTGCCTATAACATAATGATGCCGGTACTGCGAACAGAACCGTACATTAAAAAAAACCTGAATCCTTCAGGCTATTTCTTTTTCTTATTCGTTGCGTTCACTGACTCTGGTAGTCTGGTAGTCTAGTAGTCTGGTAGTCTTAGTTTCAGCTTCAAAGCTAACGGGTCACCCCATCTTTGCTCCGCTCCCGTGCCAACGAAAAACACACAGAATGTTTATCACGGTCTCTTGTGGACAGATTGACAGACTGCTGTCTCGGCATATCTATCATACACACGTATTAAAGAATACGGTAGCCATCCGAAGTGCTAACACAAACAGTCCGACATTAGAAATGCAGTTCATCATTGATGGTAGCAGAAGTCACCAACAGATCAGCAGTTGCCCACACGATCAATTTTAATCACATAAGAGCACCACAAACATTGCGTCGACAGGTATCGCGCTATTATCTGAATCTACAATTCACACCACCACGCTGGTCACTGTCGAAAAAACATTCCAAATAAAATTTGCAGCTCACAGTGTCAAGCCATGCATTCAACTCAGAAGCTGGGCGACGAAACTGTATTCCATCTACAAATAGAGCAAAAACGCATCGGCCACCGTCTGGCAGAAGCAAACACTTTGCCTCGGCTCCAAACAGTGCCCCTGCCTAGCGTCCATTTGGACTCTAAACTAAGGCGGTCAGATTTGTTCTGAAGTTTTACGTGCACATAAATTTAACAGACATGTTTTATTTGTATGCAGACCGTTGATTTCTTGCTTCTCCGGCAGAGGTACACTTTAGAGGAAACCCATCAATAGTTGACTATTATGACATGCTTGTCAGGGAATCGGTGGGTCTAGGATTTATTTTCCATAATAGGTCATTTTTTGCAAAACAAGTCCGGCTCCGTTAGGACGCGAACCCAGGACCTTCCAATCGTAGGTGGGCGGCTAGCCGCCAACGCCACTCTTCTGTCGAGACATAGAGAATAATTAGTGTCTACAGAAATCATTATAAATGCGCTGTGGGCAAGATTTTTACATACAGTTTGTTTTAGTTTATGATTTTAGTGGTAAAACCAGATGCCTTCATCCTACATAGCCCTGATTACGTCAGATCTACAGTGGTTAAAGTTCAGACCTTTGTAATATCTAGCCTTAAGAACGATACTGGGTTTACTCACACACATACGTATACACATTTCTAGCTATCTGAAAGATGGATATTAACTATTCATCCATTCATTCTCCCGTGCTGCCGCTAAATGTCACAAAGTCAATTTCAACAAAACATGCACTCATGTGCAATTAATTTGATGTAGATGGAATATAGTTTGGCGCCTGATGTTACTTGATTATTTTGTTCTTCAGTTATAAAGAATCAGTATCCTTTGTGTGCCGTTAGAAGTCACATTCGATTCCTTCACTAAGCTCGGCTGCAAGCAACTCTCTCGATTTCTGACAGTAAGTTCAGCTCAGCATTTATTGCCTTTTATAATAATGTTCTTCTTAAGGTTTGTATTGGACGTCCTCTTTTTCTCAGACCATATGTTTCCCACTGCAGTTCCTGTTTTGTCATTCTTTGTTCATTTCAACCCAGAGTGTGCCCAGGATATCTCCACCTTGTTTGCCTTATTACACTCGATACAGATATCTGTCCCTATATTTCTATGATCTCCACATTCTTTTGAATTCATCACGTTTTACGTTCATGATTTTTTCTCATACATTTATTTTGCAAATGCAATAAACTTTCAATGTCTTTAGTGGTCCTCCGACTTTTCACTGGCATAGGTTACAAATGAAATGACGTTAGAGTTGAAGAATTCTTCGTTTGGTCTTAAAGATGTATGACTTGAAGCTCTATATTATGTTAGGGCTTTTAAAGACTGTTTTTGCTTTGCCAGTGTGTAGCACAATTTTATTTGTTGATTTTATAGCGAGTCTAAATTGCTACCCAAATAGGTGAAATGGTTCGTTACTATTATTGGTTTGTTCTTTAGCATAACATCCACATGATCCGTTGTTGGCTTCTTTAATATTTTTTATATATGTTTTCTCATAACTTATTTGTAGTAATATTTGTGATTCTGTAAACGACAAATTGTCCGTTTTCCTGTCATGTCGTTGTTATTTTCACATAACAGAACAATATCATCTGCAAAATTCAGATCTTCCAGTTGTCTATTCTCTGCCCAATCAATGCCCATATTGCTTTTGTAACATTTTTTCATTACCCAGCCAATGGCTAATCCAAATCACAAGGGAGATAAAAGGCAGCCTGGTTTCATACCAGTTTCCACTAAAAACCAGGCACTTGGACCATTTTCAGTGCGTACTGCACATTCTGAATCATCATATAACTTTCTAATAATCCATATTATTTTAGCTGGTATGCCGTAGCATTCCAGAATTCACCGTAGTTAAATTATATGCTAGTTGTCAAACGCCTTCTTGAAATCAATACAATTTAGGATGAGAGGTGGTTGTTTCACAGTGTGTTCTTTTAAAATAAGTCCCAGGATCATTATTTGATCAAGACGACTTCTTCCACTTCGAAACCTACTTGTTCTTCTCTAGTGACTGTAACAACAGCCTCTTTAATTCTATTGACGATTATTTAGCCACGTGTTTTTGACATAACGGATTAAAAGGTAGAGCCTCTCCAATCGCGCCAGTCGCTGAAATTAACTATTGAGGGGATTTTCACAATGATTCATTTCTTCCGTTGTTCTGGGACCGTTTCCTCTTTCCAGATTTATTATAAAGAATAATCATTAAACGAATCAGCACTTATTAATCAAAACCAAGACAATCATAAGTTACAAATTTTCGAAAACAAAGAATGGCAACGAATGTTTGGACCCATCAAAGACGCAGACAGCGGGGAATGCAGAGTGGGAAGCAACAACGAAATTCATAATATGTTTAAATCACCATTGATCACTGGCAGCATGGGGTCTAATACACTGAAATGGCTTGGGCATATTGAGAGAAATTAAATAAAAGAGAGGTAAAAACTGAATACAAAGAGAACTGAATGGTCGCAGGTCACGAGGGAGACCAGGAAAACAGTGAGGAGATAACGTCAACACAGACCTGCAAACACTTGGTGTCACACAATGTAAAGAGAAGGCAAACAAGAGAGATGAGTTGAGGCGGGTGATATCTGCAGCAATGAACCTCAAGGGTTCGGAACGCTGAAGAAGAAGCAGGACAATCATAAATATTTGAATTAAAGAAAATGTTATTTAGGACATTAGCAAAGTTGGGAGGTGAAGAACATTTGAAGGCATGCTTTATTGGCAACATGGAGGTGGTGACAATCTACATTCTTAAGTCATGTCATGAAAAGGAGAAAACCCGAGTACATCATGACGGAGGGAAAGTCGGAGAGGAATAGAGCAAGAGGGAGGCAGAGAGAGAAGATGATCGTCAGTTTTACATCATGGCATGGAAGATCATCTGTATCGCAGCTGACTGAAACTTCACGAAACAGTATATTGTTGATGGGCATGCCTAGCAAAGCCACACAGCATGGGCTATAGGAAGAAGAAGATGGCGATAGGTGGGTGATTATATTTCGAAACTGTAAATAGAAACACAACAAACAAACAAACAAACAACGAAAACCAAATGTAAACGTTGGTTCTGCAAAGTCCTAAGATAGTGGTTAGACTGTCGCTGACTGAGGGTCTTTGGTTTGAATCTGCATAGGGTGGATACATAAAAGTATCACCCTGGCTCCCAAGTCTGTCTAGCCTAAAATATGCACCAGGTTATCTAAAACAAAAAAAAAAGGAAATTTGTTGACCACATCACCCATCGAGAACAGTTTGGTCTTTAAAATATTAGTCTAACATCATATGCCTGCGCCCCTCTGGAGTGAAAAGGATTCTTCATTGAATGAATGACTGTTTTTCTCCGTCTGGGTTCTTTCCAGAAGTTTTGACATCAGTGCGACACAATGAGCGAGATCTAGGATGCTAATCCAACAAGTCCAATCCCGGATACCCCAGTCAATTAAAAGTTAATAATAATGAGGCCCGTAAAGATAACACAAAGTACTACCTAGCTATGTCCGAAGCTGAAAGGAAAGAGCTGTTCATAATGCATTCGTCTTGTTTACACGCGTAAAAATAATAACATTCCAAATTGTTATTCATTATTTTAATTTGTTTTTTAATATTATGAAAATGTCCGTGGCTTAGGCGTTGCGAGTCCGACTTGTAATTCTAGCGTACTGCGATTAAAATCCACTGCTGGCAACGTGGATTTTTTTATCATGGCATGGGGCGTCTCAGGTCGACCCAGCCTAAACAGCATGTGTGTCCCGGGGAAGTAAAGACGGCCGGTGTAATGCTGATGACATTACCCATCTAGTGCTAATTGGTATGTAAAAATATGGGTGCTCTTTCCATGTGCCCGATGCGCCTAAAGCGTTACAAGGGATCATTACTAATATGAAAATAAAAACAAATAAGTGAAAAGCAAGCTTCCATACTGAAAACAAAGCTTCCATGCTAAGCTGCTAAGCCACCATAGACAGTTGGGAGACTGGCCTCAGAGAGACCTAGGCTGCACTTCCTCCCCCTCCCCAATCCTTCTCCGATTCCAGTGCCCCAGTGATATCAGGCAGGTTGACAGAGTCGGTGGAAAAGTCGGCTTCACGTATTTGTTGACATTTTGGAATATGGATTTTATAATAACTGAAGAAATAGTTTGTAGCAACAGTTGCCAGCATTACTGGTTATTGCAAATGTGTCAGAGACTCCGAGTTAATTTAAAAAAAAAGAGGAGTTTAATGTTAAGCGAAAAAAAGTATTCAGTCGAGGTTCATTAAGACATGTAGAAGTGATTGACAAGTAGAAAATGGAACTGATTAAAGTGATAAGATTATATTAACAAATAATGATGATTGATTATTATTACTTGTCTACTGCTATTTATCTAGCCCTTGGCAGATGGCGAATCTTTATCTTTACTAAACGTTCTGTTAAACTCAGGGTAGGGAGAGTCTATGTTCGTATTTCAAGGCTAGATGTGTTGCTTTGTTCGTGTTCTTTTTTGTTTGTTTTATGCACTCTTGCTGTTGTCTGTCCGTAACTGTCTTCGCTCGATTTGGGTGTGTATTCAAACTTCATGTACAAATATATTTTGATAGTCCGCTCTTAAAGTGGATTCATCGTATTTCATTCTTTTGAGGATCGAATAAAGTTAGGGACAATTAACATAACCTTTCACACACAAAAGATTAACCGTTGTGTACCTAGAAAAATCAAATCAGAACTAATCAAAATATTGGATGATGTCTTCAAAAAAGCAGCAAAGAAATGAGTATTAACTTGCATAACGTTTTCGAAAGAGCACACAAAGTACCCATACATCCGTTCCTTTTGTCAACTCTTCGGCGAGACAGCTGAAGAAGAGAATCGTAAGAACAAGAAGCTGTCTAAAACATTGAGCTCTGCTGGTCATCTTTAACATGTAGCAGGTCCTTTGCAGAACGTCCCTGTTATCATGATACGCTGGAAGGTCACTCGGTTCCCTGACCAATCTTTCAGTACCAGTAAACAAACAGAGAGACAGTGGGATAAAGCCTTCAAGAGTTTACCAGAGACACAATAAAATAAGACCTTCAAGGGTTTAACAGAGACGCAATGAAAAAAGACCTTTAAGGGTTTAACAGAGACACAATGAAAAAAGACCTTTAAGGGTTTAACAGAGACGCAATATAATAAGGTCTTTGAGAGTTTAACAGAGAGACAATGGAACAGAAGCAGTAAGGTGAATCATTCAGATACAAAGTTGTTAACGATGCCTAAGAAGTATTCTTGACATGACATGGCAAGACTGGATCATAAACACCGTGATATTGGAAAAAGGAGGCATTACAATGCTCAGTCTACGAAGGCTCGGGTGGTTGGGTCACAACTGGAGAATGAAGGATGGTAGAGTCGTTAAGGGCATCCTCTATGGTGAATTACAGAAGAGTAGAAGACGTCGAGGCCGACTTCTACTATGATATAAAGATGTGTGCAAGGGGGACATGTCTTGAGTTGGATTCATGGAAACAAACTGTCTTGGAGCCTGTTGCAAGGAGGGGTGCACATTGGGAAGAGAATGAGAATGAAGGAAGGAATGCCTAATGAAAGGACGTGAGCTGAGCGTATGAAAAGAAAAACATTAAATAAAAATGATAGCAGCAACGGTCCTGAAATTCCTATAGTCGTGAAAGACTTTTCACAACGAGGGCGGGTCTTGCTAGTCACACTCGCCATGGCTATGGGTTGTAAGTCCCAGGCCTCCTCATAGCACGATAAAACACTATAGTCTAGGAAGATAGAAATGTTCCAACAAAGGGGTAATATAAAGTATATATGTGATAGAAGACAGCAAGACGTTATACTATCTTTAAAAACAAAAAACAAAAACAAAACTTTTGATTGTCATTGAATGGCACTAAAAGAGTTAATAACTTAAACAAAAACAAAAGAAAAAAGACAGTCTTTCCCAATATATTTAGTATTATATTATACGATTATTCATTAGGCCTTTACCCTTGGGTGACTACTGGTCTAGAAGGGAAGTTCTGGCTATGATCAAGATCAGTTGTCATGCAAAGCCTAATCTGACAGCTTCTGCGGCACGCTTTTTTCCACACGTATTGGTGCTGCTAGCTTGCATCTGGTTTAAACAAGCCCGCTTAATAATGGATCATATTGAGTGGACAATTTATGGTCTCTAAAATACTGTCCAGACTTTCTGCAATGGGCAGACATGAATCTATTCCTGGCTTAAATTGTCTGTGATTCTTACCCTCTCTGTAGCACAACGGGACACTATTCTCTGTAAAGACAGAAAGGTGTGAATAATTATAATCTTTTATATAATACTCACGTCTTCCCAGGTAAAACTGGTCAACGGACGTTCCAAATTGAACAGGTCTACCAGGTTCTTCCCCAGTGCAGTTGGGAGCACATTCCGGAGTCCGGGCCCCACACTCCTGATCTCCATCTTCCGACTGAACACGATGTGAAACGGGAACAGCTCAAACAGCAGCTCAGGTCGAAGTGGAATGCTGTCCACGATGTTGTCTACGATGTGGGCGGCGATTTCTCTGAAGGCCTTGTTGTCAAACAGAAGCCTGAATTTGACATGTGTAGTTTGGGTGTCTTCATTGTAGTCGTTGGCCACCATGAAGATGTCCACGCGGGTGTTGTAGAAGACCTTCCCAACCTGCCGGATTTGACCCTTGACATAGTGCAAGAAGCCACGCCTCCTTGACCTGTAGGTCAAAGTCAGACCGTTTTTCGTCTCATCCTCCACGAAAAAAGAGGGAGGTTTGAGCTTAGGGTAGCTGAAACGCAGGTACTCGTGAAGGTTATCCAGACCATTGAGGAAATCTCGCATGTGGCGTCCCAGAACTTTGAGGATGCGATCATAGCCAAACTGACCAACGAAATTGACGAATTCCACTCCAAAACTGTCCATGATCGTGTCCAGGGTATCACCCGTAATCTAAATAAAGAGTCAGTACAATTAGTGTGTTGCAAATGTGACAGAAAACGCGACTAGATTTCTTCTATATTGATATCATATGGAGGTGCGGGATCACCAAGACACATTCAAGTACACACACTGAACAGGTAGCGTTTGCAATTAACACGGACAATGTCGACTCCTGCAAACAAAGAAATTATGGTCCTAAATCTGACTTCTGTGGTAATCAAGTGGTCAATCTCTCACTTAAGCTGGTAAGATGTACAGTGTACATAGATACACTTTGATATATGTATTAGCTCACTGTTTTGTGTTTCATTGTATGTTGATGTAACTTTGTCATTCCTGACGAGAAACAGGGAAATTTGGCCAGACAATAAGATGTGCAATGTTTTGTTTCTGTTCACAACATTTACAATAACTTTCCTGCTTCTTCCAGTTCTGAAATTATATTTTTTTTTTTTTTTTTATTAATCCTCTCTTATAGTTCTGTTAGGATTATTACTTTTATTTGCGGTCTTCTACCAAACCTATCAAGTGAAATTTTGATAACTAGTCTGTATGTTATAGTTGTGCATTTAACAGTTATAACAGCATTCGTTATTTGATAACTTGTGAATGTTGTGCAATACGTTAACATTTTAATTTCTGTTAAATCATGGCTATGTTAGAAGCGACCAGATGACCACTTGCGAATCCAGGGGACGTGGGTTCAGATCCGCATGCTCCCGGATTTTCTTCCCAAGCATGACCTTGGCTCCCAGGTCGACCTTCCCTTTAACTGTTGGCAGATAATGTAGTGGGAATAAAGACGGTCGGCGTGATTTTGACTACATCAGCAACTGGTCTATAAAAATATGAGTCTGAGCTCATATGTCTGATGCGCCTCTGGTGCGTAAATGGACCTTTACATTTTGTTTTTACAATTTAAATAAATCGGTTAATTGTCTTGTATTTTATTAATTCCTGTGTCTACTATATATATTTTGACCTGACCCTTTCTTGTGTAATATGCTGAGTCTATTGCAGTTCTTTTACCAATCAGTGGTAATTCTTTTAAATCTTACAGTTCTGTTATATTGACAATGTATGTTAATTCATGTTTGTTACCGTAACGTTTACATGATTATATTTTCAAAATGCATTTACAGGTTACAGTAATAGTGGCTAAATCAGTTAGGGTACTGCACACAGTAAAGCAAATTGCAGTAAAAAGTAATCACAATGCCAATAACGATATTGGAAACAGAAACAATTATTATTATTACCAGAAAAACGAAATGTGACAATAACTGTAACAATAGTAGTAATAATAGTAGCGAATATTCATAGTGATCAAATATTAACAACAAAAATAACCTATTATAATATATATATATATATATATATATATATATATATATATATATATATATATATATATATATATATATATAGAGTAGTAAAGTTTTTTTTTATTATTACATATACATATTGCTATGTTTAAGAAGTCGAGTATTTCTCTTGTAATTGAAACTAATTTTTTTTAATCAGCACAAAGTACTTAGAGAATACAGTTTAATTTTTTGTTTAAAAGCAAACACACACTCTCTTACAGAAACAGACACACTCTCTCACGCACACTCATTCTCTCTCACACACACTCTCTCTCACAGACACACACTCTCTCTCTTACAGACACACACTCTCTCTCACACACACTCCCTCTCTCTCTCACACACTCCCTCACGCATACACACGTCATCTCTCTCACAGACGCACTCCCTCTCTCTCTCCCCAACATATACACTCTCTTTCACAGACCCATACACCCTCTCTCTCTCTCTCACACACACTCCCTCTCTCTCACACACATTACTCTCTCACATACACTCTCTCCCACACATACACACCCTCTCTCTCCCACACACACTTCCTCTCTTTCTCTCAAACACACACACTCCCTCTCTCTCTCTCACTTCCTCTCTCACTCACACACACACACTCCCTCTCTTTCTCACTCACTCCCTCTATCTCTCTCTCACACACACACACTCCCTCTCTCTCACAAACACACTCCCCCTCTCTCACACACTCCCTCTCTCTCACACACTTCTTCTCTCTCTCACACTCCTTCTCTCTCACACACTTCTTCTCTCTCTCACACTCCCTCTCTCTCTTCCTCTGTCCTTCTCTCTTACACACACACACACACACACACACACACACCACAAGCAGTTGTTTACCTTTGCAGCAGCTGTAGCCATATCCAGCAACATACTATCATTGTAGATGTTATGAGTGGCGAATCCACTGAGATTAATATTGGCCTCCTTTCGTATCCTCTCCCAGGTTTCCTCTCCATATTTGCCCTTGAGATGATCCGCCGCCGACTGAAGAAGAAGTCCGTACATTGTGAACAGATATTTCGCAGTACAGATCAGCAGGTGTGTACTCGGGATAACAATGGAGCGGGCCTATGACATTTGTTCATCATTTATTTTACAAATGCTTCAAGTGCCACCTTTCTTTATAGATTTAGAGAATGTTCGCGATTCGGGTGAATTGTATCTGAAAATATAAAATTTAGTCAACATTAAAATGTGACTCAAAGACAATGTACCGGTTAATGATGAATGAAACATTATACATTTTGTTCCTGGCATAGTTTTAAGGTAGGTAGGTACTTGTACCCCATTAAGACGTAGTTGATCCCACCAAGACATCACACAAGCGATAAACACCCGGTGACACAAAGTGCCACTATGCGGATGAGTATCACCCGTGGAGAGATCCCTGAAACCCCTTTCAGCCGTTAGGTAATATTTATGTCCCGGCTAGATTAAGGGCTTCCGGAAGAAGAAAGGCGGAGCTTCAAATAAAAAAAAATGGCATCCTACAAAGGGACGACTTTTTTTTTCTTAATTATCACGGTTGCTCCCGTGCCCTTTAAGTGTAGATAGTTATTAGGTGTGGTTTTACAAGTTCTGATTATGTTAAAGTCAGAAAATAACTACACAATTGTCCAGATCTTTAGGCATATTGGGCGTATGGGATGACACTTACATTGTATAGACCATTCGGCACTTGGTGGGTGTTGTGGTCAACGTCAGGTTGGCCGCCTTTATTTCTCATAACTTTACTTGGTACCCATTTAAATTAAAGTTGAAGTGAGAGCCAAGATCATTTTTAAATAAACTCCGGATCCGCCAGGACCTGAACCGCGACCTTCGGATCGGCAGGCGACCGTGTGATCTACACAAACATAGGTCTTGTTTAATCTACTGTGGATGTGCCGGAGACGGGAACACTGTCCTTTGGTTAAGTCAACATTGTACACTCCACGCAACACAGCACCAGTTTTTAGTGTTATTTGCATACTCAATGTGAGTGTGATATATATATATATATATATATATATATATATATATATATATATATATATATATATATATATATATATATATATATATATATATATAGGTAACATAAAGTCACTAAAACAGCTAACTAGTACTTTCGAACTGAGGGAAGGTCTCGTTCAAAGTAAGCACTGTATAATGCTTACATCTGAGACTGAGCAGAACAAGAGATGAGCACAGGAAATAATCCCAGATTAGTGGAAGAAAGGAATAATTGTTAGAATTCCTAATAAAGGTATTCTTACAGACTAACAACAGGAGAGAAAATATCTGTTATCGGTCATGTCAACGACGCTTTGTAAAATTAGAATTAGATAGGTAGTGAATAAAGTCGTGAAAGATGAAAAAGCAGGTTTTCGACCTACAGAAAACTGCTTAGAACAAATATTTACTCTGAGACTTATTTTTGAAAGATTTATTGGGGGGGGGGGGGGGGGGGGGGGGGGGGAACTGTATTTTGAATTTCATTAACTTGAAAGCTTTTGATAGTTTACATAAAACATCATTAGTGGGAAATTTTTTTATGTTTTTTTATTTCAATGAAAATAATAAATATTATTAATTCAATGTAGGAAGGTTCAGAGTGTGCAGTGCGAACAGACGATGGTTTCACGTATTGGTTTAAGGTTGATACTGTTGTGAAACAAGGATACATTCAATGGCATCTGTGTTTTTTTTTTTTTTTTTGGCATAACAACTCTCTGAGTGAGAAAAAAAATTATTGGAAACCTCGGTATTGACTAAGTGGACAACACAAAGTTGGAAGATCATGGTTTGCTGATGATTTTGTTCTGCTAAGTAAAAGCAGCAATGACATGCAGAGAAAAACTGATAAATTAGCAAATATAGCATCAAGGATAAGGACTACAAATAAGTTATAAAACGACAAATATAATCAAGACAACTAGAACAGATCAAGCAGCTGTAACACTAGAAACAAGAGTAATTAAAGTTAACAGATCAGTTTACTTATTTAGATAGTAATTTTGATTGATAGTAAAGGAAATAAAAATAAATAAATTATGACACACATTGGTAAGGCATCAGCAGCTTTTAAAAGATTGAACAAAATATGGAACTCCAAAATGTTATAGTTTAAAAATCAAGTTATGTATTTTCAGTTTTAATGTTTTTTCAGTTTTAACATATGTAAGTGAAAGTTGTAGAACCATTAAAGACAAAGAATGAAAGTTAAAGGCTTTCGAAAATGTCTGAGGAAAATCATGAAAGTACAATGGGGTGAATTCAAAAGGAGTAGAGTGATAAGAGATATGTCTGGGCTACCACTAGAGATATGTCTGGGCTACCACTAGAGATATGTCTGGGCTACCACTAGAGATATGTCTGGGCTACCACTAGAGATATGCCTGGGCTACCACTAGAGATATGTCTGGGCTACCACTAGAGATATGTCTGGGCTACCACTAGAGATATGTCTGGGCTACTACTAGAGATATGTCTGGGCTACTACTACAGATATGTCTGGGCTACTACTAGAGATATGTCTGGGCTACCACTAGAGATATGTCTGGGCTACTACTAGAGATATGTCTGGGCTACCACTAGAGATATGTCTGGGCTACCACTAGA